GACAACCCCGTAACAATATGCGTTTTGTACTGCTGTTACACAGCACAAAACGCATAATAAAAACTAGAAAGGTGAAATTTTTGGCGTGGTATCCCCGGACCACATACTTCTTCGCAAATTTCCAATTTCCCCGTGAAAGTTTTGGCGAGAAAAATCATTATTTCGGAAGCCAGAAGAACTAGGGGGCAATAAATTTCAGTGGGATATTTCCTGCCTAAGCAGGTGCTTCACAAATTCAAATTCATTTCCTAAGTATGTCGAGCTCTCACGTACAAACACGTGAATGTTTTGTCGCAAAAATCACTCGAAAGCTAGAAAATTAGCAGAGTGAAATTGTGGAATATGATATTCACCCTTCGAGCAGTGAAAATCATCAACAGGCAATCGTTCGGTGGACGGAATTGCAAAAAACGCATGATCGCACCGGCTCTTCTGGTGCGCTGCTATTTATTATGCGTTTTGTGCTGTGTAACAGCAGTACAAAATGCATATTGTCACGGGGTTGTTGTGTGTGTGTGTTTGTATGTGTGTGTGCCCGCAGCAACTTGCCCGCAACTTTCAACTCGAGAATCACAAAAGCTAGGAAGCTGAAAATTTAGGGGAACGTTCCTCACCAACGTGTGACCTCGCAAATTTAAATTTAGCTTCCCCGTACCCGCGGGTAACGCCTACGGCCTCGTGAAAATTTTTTGCGGGTAAGTTAATATCTCGGGAACCACGGAGTGTAGGAGGCAGAAATTTTTCAGTAATGGCCTCCTGCCCATGCTCAACCTTGCCCATTCAAATTCAGCGTTCCCGTACTCTCGGGTATCACCTACGGGCTAGTGAAAGTTCTTACGAGTAAATTATTATCTCGGGAACCAGGGGGTCTAGGGAGCTGAAATTTTAGGATAATGATCCCCTGCCCACGTTCAACCTTGCCTATTCCAATTCACGGTTCCCGCTCTCTTGAGTATCACCTACGGCCTCGTGAAAATTTTGGCGGATAAGTTATTAACTCGGGATAAAGATATTCACCCTTCAAGGTTTTGAATTCAGCTTCCATGCGCTGGTGCGTGAAATTTTTAACTGTTTTCCAATGTTTGAACTATTTTTG